TTTTTTTTTTTGGTGTTGGAAGTAAGACAAAGCTCAATCCCAAGGTATCTGTTTTCTCATTCTTCAGTGACCTGAACATCTTTTTTTCTCATTCTTTAGTGATGGCTTTAAATACTACCTTCTAGCAACTCCAAATACATATACACATATACATATGTATATATTTACACATGTATATATTTAAATTTTACATGAATATTTATATATAACTCTATACTCAACACTTCTATATAGCTGTCTGATAGGTACATTAACTTTACATTTTCAAATCTGATTTCATCATCATCCCCATAAATCTGTTCTTCCCCAAGTTTTCCCTGTCTCAATTAATGTCAACTCTCGCCTTTTCGTTGTTCAGTCCAAAAACTTAGATGTCATCCTTGACTCCCCCCACCCTCTTACAGTCCACAATCCACCAAATTGAAAATGACTTTTATCAAAATATACTCAGAACCTGACCACTACCAGCCAGTTGCAAACACTCACCTATCCCTGGGATTCTAAGACCTATTCTCCGGCCTTTGTGTTCTCCCATCCCAAGTACAAACGACACATCAGTCAGCCATCTTTGGTCTTTCCTAAGCAGAGTAAACATTTTACAACTTAACTGTGTCCCTCCACTTCTAAGGACCTATCTGATTTGATACACAGCTACCTCTCTGGTCTCATTTCCCACAATTTCTCTGCTTCCAGCAACATGGGTTGCCTAGCTTTCTGGAATATGTAGGCTTACTCTACTTTGTATGTAGCATCCCCTCTGCCTGAAATGATTTTCTCCCAGATATCCTTTTGATTCAAGACTAGTCCCTTTCAGATTTCACTTAAATGTCACCTTCTTGGTAAGACCTTCTCTAATCTCTAATTTCAAGTTGTCTTGCTCTCCAAGGCTCTCTCTATTCCACTCTTACTACTATGTGGCAGTATCTTAAATTAATTACTCATTTTTTTTCTGTCTCTATCCACTGGAATGAAAACCTCAGGAGGGCATGTCTTCTTAAGCTCTATTTCCCCAGTACCTGGAATAGTGTCTCTTACATGGTAGGTACTCAATAAAATTTACTGAAAGATTTTTGTGGACCACCACCACCTTATATGTTATCATATCATGACATAGATCCAATTTTCTTCTTCCATTTATATATTAAAGCTTAGTGTATGGAACCACTGTCTGCCTTCCCTAGAAGCAAGAAATATTAAGAGTCACTAACAACCTGAAACATTGATGGTCCCTCATTCTTTAAGGATTATGGATTCTATCTTCCATCTATACTTCTCTCAAATTTACTCCCCTCTGCAACTCGACTACCACTTCTTCCGTTCAGGATCTCACTGGATCCATATTGTTCAAAGGACAAAGTCTATATTGTTCAACCTGACAAGTAATAAGAGACTCCTTTCCACCTGACTACAGTCCATCCACTGCAGCCACATACCCACACGTCCCCCTGTACCTTGCTCTCTATACACTAATCTGGTTTCCTTTAAAAAAATGCTCTTTGACTTTTACTATTTTTCTTAATATCTGCACTAGCTGAAAATATTCCCTCTGCTCTTCAATGAACAACTCCTTCGTGGTTTTACAGGACCCATTTCAAATATCACTTCTATAAAAACATCAAAATAACAGCAGTGAACAAGTACTGAATGTTTCTCTGATCCAAACAAATAATCATTATCAAATAATCATTAAACAAGGCTGTTAGAACAGTCCTAGTAATTTCCCCAAATTACGGTTGCTAAAAGTAGTCTAATAGAAGTTAGGAAAAGTATCCCAGCTCCCAAAATTAATAAGCAGATGAGCTAGGATTTGAGCCTAGTTCTATCTGATTCCAGAGCCTAAATGACAAAACTCTCAAGTGAATGCTGAACTGACCTTCAAATGAACAGGAAGAATCTCTTATACTGAGTTTAGGTCATTTTGAGATGATTAATTTTATTGTTGTGCAATGAAAACTAAAAACTATAAACTCTAAGAAGCAGTCATTTTACAGATATCCAGATAATAAATCCAAGAATTCATGCTAAGACATTATTTTGGTTTTTAGAAAAACACATTAACTTTTGTAAGCATAGTTGTTAAATGAGAAATAGTAGTAACAGTGCTATTATTGCCAAAGTGTAGCATATACATATTTATAGGCAAGGAAAAAACACCAGAGCCTTGTATTTCCATGCCACAAAGCCCACTAAATGTCACCTGATCTATCCAATATGACTTAGGGAACATTACATCACTGCCATATTCTGACCCAATAATTATAACTCCTCCAGGTTCTGGACTTCTTGGTAGAACTTCATTTCACTGAGTTTTTTAGCTTGAGTTGCTTTGCTAGATTAGCAAACACAATCCCACCCAAAGGTGAGTTTGATGGCACCGCTGAAGGAAGTCCCAGCAGGTTTCCATAGTAATGGCCCCCAGGTTTGTCTCCAAAGTGGCCCTGCTTGAGTTGCCATGGTAAACAACCAGGCTAAACAGCTATATTCAGTTCTCTGCCAGGGTCGCCATGGTGACTGCAAAGGACGGCTTCTTAGAAGGACCTCAAAAGGGCGCGTTTCCATGGTGACCCTAGCCTGCATATTTCCAAGCAACTTCCTTCAGTTGTTCTATGACCAGTCATGGCAGGTTCATTTTGAGAGTAACCCTGGAAAGGTTTCTCCCAAAGATAACATCGTAACACTTGGGGATTTGGAAGTGAGGTCTCCCTAAACAAACTGCTTAAAAATGCAAAAGTTCCATGCATTAATCATTTAGTCCCTACACATTTTAGAGAGATCTGTTTTGATAAGTAACAAAAATTATTTGCTGTGTTTTTGTTAAAAGTGCCTGTTTTAAATCTTAATACATTAAAAGTATCCTACAAAATATATTGTAAATAATAAAAGTCTAAAATTTCTCCACTCTCACAGCAGCTAACTAGACAAAAATACTTTGTAGTGGACATCCCACAGACACTCAAAATGAAACCATGAATACATATGGATTATTAGATTATAATGAGTTATCAAGGAAATTTTTAGTGCAAAAGATAAAATATTTGCAAGTCAAATGAAAAAAAAGTATTTTTTGGGTTAAGTTAGAAAAGCCTAACCATATTTGGACCCAAGCTATTTTTTTCCCCTGTACTTTTGTAACTGGAACAATCCCAGCTCCTCTTTCTTTCCATTTACAATATGAATATAGACCATTCTGAACAGATGCTTGGTTTTTCAGCCATTTTACTATTCTCTTAAAACTTTAAAATACTGTACTTTTTCTAGCATTTAGTCAAGAGCAAATTTTTATATAATCACTAATTTAAATATCATTAAAATTACTTAATATATGAAAATTCCAAATTTTAAAAGATGCAATAACAATTCTGTATGTGCCTTTTTTGTTCATTCCAATCGACTCTTTAAAAACAAATTTTTATATAATCCTTCTTGTATGTAAAAGATTAATCACAGATTTTCTCTTTTCCTTCTCGTCAAAAAACAGGGATAATGTTTTCCCTTGAGCCTAAGTTCCACCAGTTCTATAACTTTCTGTTGTACTCACTCAGATTCCATTCTCCTAGCAGTCCACAATAATTCCCTACTTCCCACTCACAGTCCAGAAATTCAGGGAATGAAGTAGAGTTTGAAAAATAAGCAAAGTCAAGAAAGATGAGGCTAACTCAGTCACTTTTTAGTGAAGTTTCAATATTTATCGTGATGTTCAATTTCATAGACACTTAGAGTTTTAAGCCTTTCTCTCTCTCTCTCTCTCACACACACACACACACACACACACACACACGAATCAGAACAGGCACTACAGTTTTCATTCAATCATTCACTAATATTTACCAAGTGACTACCAAGTCCAGACACTATTCAAGAGGCTGAGAACACTTCCAGAAACAAATTAAGAATTTCTGCCTGCAAGATGCTTTGATTAAGAATAGAGAGAGAAAGATAATAAAAAGAAAGGCAGTAAGGAAAACACATAATGTGCTTCAAAATGATTAACGATAAGGAGAAAATGAATCTGGGAGGAAAAGGAAGCAAAGTCTCAAGTCAGGTTGTGATCGGATTGTAATATTGTTATTACCAAGGGAGGCTTTATGACCTCTGCCACTCACTTAATAAGGTAGATTCGATATTATACTCTCCTCACTAATCTAAATCCTTAAGCTAAAACAATTAAGAAAGTATCATATAACACTCAATAGAAGTTAACTAAAGTAATAACCCTTTTCTCCTACTTTTATATTTGCTAGCTGAGAGGCAGCATGGTCTGAGGGAGGCAGGTGACATGGAAACCATCAGCTCTATATAAACTAACCTCTATAAACTCTATAAACATAGGCAAGTTATTGCAACTTCCAAGCCACTTCCTCAATTTTAAAATGAGAATAATTCTGATCAGCTAGCTACTCCCCCAAAATATGAAAGGTATTAAAATATACACACTAAAATACTGTGGGTGATAACATCTGGAATTTGCTTCAGAATATTTCAGGGACAAGAGGAGGAAAGAGATTAAAAACATTGGGGATAATGTTGGGAATTAATGAAGACCAGTGATGGGTAAATGAAAGTATGTTATTTTACCAACCTTTTACTATATTTGAAAATTTCCTTAAACATTTTAAGGATTAAACTTGTAAGCAAAAGACACTTTGTGTTTTTACGACCAACTTATTTTGTTTAAATATCCAAGAAAACTAGCAAAACCTGGATTGATTTACTGAGTACCTACCTTCTGAACAGTGCCAGGTCCTTACCTTCTTCTAGCATCCTAATTTTTAAAAATTAACTTCATACTTTTCTCATTCTAAGAGACAATAGAAGTCAAAAGCAGAAAAACACCACTGTTAAGCTTGAAGACTCATTTGTTCCTCAATGTATAATAGATTTTTAGAAGAAACCTTAGTATCACTTGATGAATGCTTAGAAACAATCAAGCCTTATACTTCTAATAAAAAAATTTAGACAATGAATTTTATATGATTATATCAAGAAAAGCAAAAACTTACCAGATCAGTGTCTCCCTTTTTATAGGTTAATGCTTCGACTTTGGAATCCAATTCTGCTTGTATTTGGTCTCTTCTTTTCATAACACCCTTCGTGATAAAACATAAGGGTGAAATAAATGGTACTTAGTTTGAATCATCTAAAAATACATTTAAGAATATAAGTAGTATCTATCCCCTAGTCTTTCACTTGGGAATGTAATGCCTTAAATTTTTTTTTTTCAAATTCTAATAGCTAATTTGAAAGCACCTATTTTAGAGGATTTTTTTCATAAATCTTTTATTAGCTTTCCCAGTGCACATTTTATTTGTTCAAACATTTCATGTACAACTTTTGATAGTGCACTCTAGGCATATACAGTTTTTCTAAAAGACTGAAGCATATAATCAAACAAAAAGTCAGCAGGAATTGAAATGTATGCTACAATGCAAACTTCTGGCCCTTGGGAGTTCATACAGGCCACTCACCTGAAAATACCTACAATCTGAGACAGCCCTCCTATCTGACTCCAAAAGGATACTTAATCAAATTGTCAATTATAACAGGGAATGAAAAAATTGAAGGGTGCATTCACATCTTAAGCTTTTCATTTTAGTTTCAAATATATAAATATTAATCAAGTAGCTAAGCTTCAGTGAGAAATCAAGGGTTCTTCTCTGACTGATAGGACTGCACTTTTTCCATGAATCGTCATGATTTTATGTCTCAGTGCCTTTACACTTCACCCTTGTGAAGCAACTTAAGCGCAGAATCCATCTACCGCTTTTATAATGTTTGCCACTCTTTTATTACATTGTCTTTCCCTAGTGTCTCACATGTCTCTGAAGACACCCTATCTAAGCTTCATAGACACAAGGACTGTTTTTATCATACCCAGTTTTCACTAGCTTTCACTGCACTTATTGAATCATAAATTTATAATAATAAATGCAAGTGGCCTGAAGAGCTGAAGGAAAAATAAAAACTAATTGTAGGTAAGCGAACAATTCAACCAGGGTGAGTGGAAATACAGGACACACAAGAGAAGGGCCTTAATGAGGTACAGGTTTTCAGAGAAGGGAGGAAATGAGACACAAGTCAGCTACATGGAGGCTAGAGGATATGTATGACTGTAGAATCTGAGTGAGAACTGAGAAGTATTAAGGTAAAAAGCATCCTGAAAACCGCTCAGTCTAGTTTTGTGTCTGGTGGAATTGCTATTACAACATTCAAAAGAGATTTACATTTTTCCTATTTTCAAAGAAATCAATAGAAAATTCAACTTATTATCACAACTTCCTTTATATTTAGACTTCAAGATTTAATTGCCATTGATGTCAGAAACCTCTTCCTTTCTCTAACCCAATGACTCCTACTGCAATTAGGCCCATTTATTTAAGGTGCTTCCATAAATATGAAGTACTGTGTTTTTTATAGGTAGAAATATTTTAAATAAGAGGTTGCTTCAAAAACAATTAGTAAAAAATCAGAGAAGTTTAATCATTATGGCAAGGCATATACTTTTCATTTAGGTCACACTGAAGAAAATATTCTAATATAAAACAAAGCCAGAACTGCAATATAAATACTACTTATTATATCCTACGAGTGTGTAAAACAATACAATCATATGAGGATCTATGAAATAATTATTTCTGGTTGCTATTACAAATTTTCCACATCTTTAATCATGCATCTTTTAATCGCATAATTTCCATCCTGCCATAATAAACAGCAAAACATCTAGTTAAGGATAAAGGGCAGACTATTTTTTTTTAATTCTATTTTTATATTCCCCATACAATTGCACCCCCCTTATTTTGGCCCCAATCCCTCCTTCCCCCCCCCCATAGTGTGTCTCTGGTTTATAGTTGTTTGTTGATTTTGATTTTTTCTTTCTTATAGTTATTCTTTTTCCTGGTCCCTTATTTAGGTTTTCTAGATTCCTGCTATGAGTGAGACCATCCGGTATTTTTCACCCAAAGCAGTGATAGTGAAGGCAAAGATAAACAGCTGAGATTACATCAAATTAAAGAGCTTCTGCACAACAAAAGAGACAATAACCAAAATAAAGAGAAACCCCACCAACTGGGAGAACATTTTTGCACCCAACACTAATGATAAAGGACTGATCACAAAAATCTACACAAAGCTGAGAAGACTCAACAAAAACAAAGAAAATAATCCAGTCAAAAAATGGGCAGAAGAGCTAAAAAGAAACTTCTTCAAAGAGGAAATGCAAAAGGATAGACTATTTTTAATGACTGACATCAAATCTCTTTGAAGAGCCACACAAGGAGAAGATCAATAATGAAGTAAAACAATGGGATGTAGCCAAGGAAGTTGATGGGGACAAGGAGGTGATGTCTCAGCAGTAAAACATTAGAGGCCTCAGAAAAACAAGAAGACTTTAAGGAAGACCCCAATAAAGTCAAATAACAGTAAAATCCTGAAACATCCACAAAGTTTTTAAGGACTCTGTGAAAGGAAAACATGGACATCATAAAAATGAAAGCAGTGGATCACATGCTGAAAGACTGAGCTTTTCTTACCAAGACTGAAACAAAATTTTTTATAGCCCTAAAAATCAAGAAACCAGAAACCAGATATGACTCCAATGTCACCACAAGTAACAGAAGAATTGGGCTATATTTGAAAGTATGCTGACCTCTCCTCCCACCAACATCCCAAAACACCTGAGGATATCTGTTTGTGCTAGGTAGTGTGAGCGAGGATAATACTGGATGAAAAATCTTCATTTTTCAGATACCACTGCTAAAATCCCAAATATCTGGAAAACTTGAGGAGGTTAAATGCAAAAATTTGATGTAAGAGGAATAAAAACATTTTAACTTGAAGGATTTCTTTTTAGACACATCTGGAAGGCAGAACAAATATCAAGATCCTACTCAAGTTCTTTCTAAACAATGCTACTAAATACAAATCTAAATCAAAAAAAGGGAAAACAGCTTTTTCATGAAAAGAAATTATTAAAGTGCTAAGCATTTTTAAAGTAAAATTTTAAAAAGTTAGCTAACTTGGTCATATTCCTTACTTAAGTCTTAACTGAGGATGCTTCAAACCTGTGTATAATCTTATAAATTATTACCATGGTTGAATAGTCCTGTCTCTTACCTTATTAATGTATTCTTCTCATCAATTCAGTCATGCAGTGAACAAATATTTATTGAGCATCTACATGCAAAGGATCTTGCTAGAATAGGAAATCGTGGTGAAAAAACAGAAACTGCCCTTAAAAAGGTTAGAATCAGGTCAGGGACCAAGGTATAAAAACAATTATGTATTCTTACCATTAACATTTCACTGTAAAGCACATACTCATGTACGACAGGAAGTAGGGCTTCTGAGAGTCCAGACATCCGTCTTTCAGTGGCCTTACAGCATTTGTCAATACAGCTGGCAACACCTTTTAAAGAATCAACCAGATCCTCTTCTGATGCTGACCACAGAATATGAATTGGTCCATATTCTTTCATTTCATCATAATACTCTGAAAAAAATTAATGTCACCCAATTTATAGAAGTTTTCAAAATTCCACTATTATAGACAACAAAGAAATCACCTCATTTTTCTCATCGTAAAAATATTTTTAGACATGAACAAAGAAAAAATTATCTTTCATTAAATTAACTGGTCAATCCTTGTAGATAAGTAGGCAGATGCATTTATCTATAACTAGACAGAGCTTATAGATACAAAGATGTTAATATATCATTAAACCTATGTAATAATTTATTTTTATGCTGTACTTCCTTAGTAATATAAAATGTGCTGAAACAGCATTCAAATCACAGTTGATTCAGACTGAATTAGCTGCACTATAATGTGTCTGTTAGTATCATTTATTTCCCCGATTAGTTTGAGCTGAAGAAGAGGTACCAACTTAATTCTCCTTTAAACTCAAGAAGAAGTAGTACACCATGTCATCAAAATAAATGTGCTAAATAAACTGAGAACACAAAATAAAATAAAATGAAATGATTGAGTATACAGAAAAAAAAAATCACCAGTTATGAACACTAAAGTCTTCAATACATGACTATGAAGGAATTACCCTATGTAGTTCAGATTCCCAAAGCTAAAAAGAAAGCTATTCATCATTCTGAATGGGATCTTGTCAAGTGAGTTTCAGGTTCGAAAGACCAAAAATATCCCTCAGTTTTAGGCTAGTCGCATTCACTATCTGAAAATGAGAGTTCAAATTTATAAAGTATTGCAAAATCCAGTTTTCTCTCTGAGGGTTTCATAAAGAGTGTACCTACAATTATAAAATTATTCCTTTGTAGCAACAATGATAAGGCATATTGTTATTATACATATCTCTTGTGTCAATAGGTTCCAGGGGCATCTTTGAATGGCTCTCTCACTAAACTATGCATCAAGAATCCACTTAACAGGACTGGACCCATAGAACCTAGTTAAAAGAATTACTTACTGAGATTTAAAAGAGAGACTAGTTTAAACATAAGCAGGCCAAAAAGGGTCAAAAGAAATCATTAAATTATATTGTTACTGCAATGACCTCAAATGTAAATACATGAAAAAGGTACAGATATAGCAAAATATATCTAGTCACAACCATTTTTTCTTTATCTCTTTTAAAATCAATCAATTCTTGATAAGGAAAATTTTCCTACCACCAAATCATATGTTCATTTATTTTTCAACCACCGAACAGATTTCAATTGAGGACGTACTATGTGTTAAGTGCTAGCTATTCATAGATACTAGAAATAAAACAAACAGGTTGTCTCTTTTTATCATGATGGAACTTAAAATTTAGTGGAGACACAGACAAAATGATAAACCATCAATGAAAGAATTTTAAGTAATTTTTCATCTGTAAAACCAATTTACATTAGGAAATATATTTCTTGACTCAGTCACTTATATTTAATGTACGGTAATGCCATCAATCAGCAAAAAAATCATAAAATTAGAAAAACTCATGGGATAAAATCTAACTTATGAACTTAAAAAAATAGAAAATAGGGGAAAGAAGTACTAATAAAAATATAGGGAAAGGAACCTGTTTTCCAGAGATAAATCTCTCTGTCATATGTAGATAGATTCTAAGGTAGAGTACCTGTGCCAAAAATAATCCCCAGGAAATATGGAAATCCTATTTCTTGAAATATTTCCTTCTTTGAATAAGCTAAGACCATGTTAGATATTTAAAATCAACATCCTACAACTACATCCAATATCTTAAGCTCAGGAGGCTTACTCTACCACTATTATTTGTAATTTTTTTTAAAGATTTATTTATATATTTATTTATACAAGCACTGGGTACAGTTAGAATCACAGGAGGGTGAGAGAATTCACCAGAGCCAGAGCAGGGAGCAGAACAGACAGACTGACGAAGTACATAGCTGAGGGGAGCAGCGGGCGTGGCAGGAGAGGACTGCGCGCCATGTGGGACCCTCGCCAGCGGCCAGGGATTGAACCGGCGCTGCAGAGGCTGCGGGGCAGCTTCGCAACCCAGTGATCAATCGCTGCGCCACCGGGGAGGCCCTGTAAATGTTTTTTTTAAAAAGTGATTGATTAAAGCAAAAAGGGAAAGGCCGTGACTACCTTCAAAATCATTTAGGAATCAGAAATTTTCACATTATGCATGGGCAGAAGCCAAACTCTAAGGTAAAATATTAAGTTAATGTGTAATTTCAAAGCCAAACTTTGAAGGTAAGATATTAAGTTAATGTAATGCGTTTGGAAGTCTCTATTGCATCCAAACAAGTAAAATGTTGAACACAAAAATCAACTCTTCTTTCATCTATAAGAGAGGACAAGAAACAAGACAACCTACTACTCTCCCACTGGGGTGACATTACAGGGGAATGCAAGGAATCACTGCCTATGGTAGTTGAGATTCACACACAGAAATCAGCTCAGGAACCAGTGCCAGGTAGTAAAACCCAAATTGTAATTGACAAACTGAAGGAAACTCAGTGTGGACAGCTCTGAGATGTAAAATTCCTAGGTGACCTTGTCATAGTGGGAATCCCCCAATATTGTAGAATTTACCCAGCCCCACCTCTCTGTGTTCCCCAGTAAATATCCAAGAAAAATCACTCTGACACATTTCTGACAGGAAGAAGAGAAACAAATCATTTTAAAATAACCAGAATACTCTGTCTTCTTAACAAGGCCAGCCCTCAGGGGGAAGGAGCTAAGCAGAGTCTAACCTGCTAGAGTATTCCAGAACCTAACTGATCTAGGAAAATTAAGATATTCAACTCCAGTCCACTGTAGTTACCCAAAAAATAGAAAATAGGGGAAAGAAGTACTAATAAAAATATAGGGAAAGAGACCTGTTTTCCAGAGATAAATCTCTCTGCCATATGTAGACAGATTCTAATGTAGAGTACCTGTGCCAAAAATAATCCCCAGGAAATATGGAAATCCTATTTCTTGAAACACTGATAGAAACTGAAACACTCCTGAAGTTCACAGTTTAGAGCACATATAAGATCAGAGAACACTTGCCCTCCACCCACACCTCATCATCACATTACTATTTACAGAAGTTCCTTTTTCCCCAGTAATAAATCTGGCTATCAAGAAGAAATTTAGGGCTTCCCTGGTGGAGCAAGGGATTAAGCACAGCACTGTGAAGCTATCTGCAACCTCTGCAGCATGAGTTCGATCCCTGGCCAGCCAGGGAGCTGACCCACATGGTGCAGCAGACCTCTCCTGTCTCTCCCGCTGCTCCCCTCAGCAGTGTATTTCAGTAGATGTGCCTGTTCTGTTCCCCACTCTGTCTATGGTGAATCCTCTTGCTCCATCCCCGCACCTCTGCCCTGTACCCCAATTCTTGTATGCATAATAAAATCTTTTAAAAAAAATTAGAGGAAAAATTAGAGGAAAATTACAAGGCATACCACAGGCAAAAAACCCAATCTAAAGAGACAAAGCAAACATCAGCATCTAACCTTAGTAGGAAGTTGGAATTATCAGACCAGGAATTTAAAACAAGTATGATTAAAAAGGCAAGGGTGGCCTCCCCGGTGGCACAGTGGTTGAGCGCTGGGTTGCTAAGCTGCCCGCAGCCTCTGCAGCGCCGGTTCGATCCCTGGCAGCTCCCCTGCCACTGGAGGAGGTCCCGCATGGCATGCAGACCTCTCCTGCCGCCCGCTGCTCCCCTCAGCAGTGTACTTCGGTCCTTCTGCCTGCTCTGCTCCCTGCTCTGGCTCTGGTGAATTCTCTCACCCTCCCACGCTTCTGACTATCCAGTGCTTGTATAAATAAATCAATCAATCTAAAAAAAAAAAAAAAAAAAAAGCATCTCTACTCCTTAAAAAAAAAAAAAAGGTAAGGGCTATTGGGCCTCCCCTGGTGGCACAGTGGTTGAACACTGGGCTGCGAAGCTGTCTGCAGCCTCTGAAGCACCGATTGGATCCCCAGCTGCCAGCAAGGGTCCCACATGGCGAGCAGACCTCTCCTGCCATGTCTGCTGCTCCCCTCAGCAGTGTATTTCGCCAGTCTGCCTGTTCTGCTCCCCGCTCTGGCTCTGGTGAATTCTCTCACCCTCCAGCGCTTGACTGTACCCAGTGCTTGCATAAATAAATAAATCTTTAAAAAAAAAAAAAAAAAAAAGCTAAGGGCTCTTATGGGTAAAACAGAAATAATGCAAGGGCAGAGGGGTGAAATCCTAATAATGAAGGAAAACAAAGTGCTAAGTCCATGTTGCCTCACTATACCAGCAAATGTGATGATCTGTAAGAGATTGGACAGCCTTGAAATCCCACTGCAGTGATTCCACACACCTCTTTCTTCCTTGTAAATTCTTTGAGATATTTTATCTATCAAATTTATTTTCTGGCTAAATATTTCAATAAAGTTGTTCATTTCCATGAACTCCTCCGGGCGGCTTTTAACTCCTCTCATAGATGACGCGACAGCTCTGACGGTCTGGCCCATTCTGCTGAGCAATCCAGGCCCTTGCTTCTTATGAGACAAGAGTTCCTAGAAACAAAAAAAGAGAAATGTTTGTGCTGAAGCAAACAATATTCCAAGACTTATCAAAAAAATCCTGAATTATAAGAATAATAAAATGTTTCAAGTATGTTAGCTTGAAGCAGGTGAGTTTCGCAAGGTTTCAATCTCCTTGTCAATACTTCTTTTCAAAGTACTTGTGTTAAACATGTAGACAAGCTTTCTTAGAACATGGATCTTTAAAAGAATATGGTTTAAGAAAAGGAAAAGTGCTTAAGGACACACTGGAGAAGATAAGAGGATGATATAAGATGCAGACTATATTTCAAAACAAAATTATTTTATTGAAATTTTTATGAAAAAATAATTGAGAGAAGGTACCTGAGAGTCTAAGCTACTCCCTGAAAAACTGAAAAATTTCATTAACTTCAGTTATAATAGTAGTTAATATTTATTCAAGACTTGTTATTGATATGTTCCAGTCACCATACCCATATATATGTACACAGACACATATACACACATATATACGTATATGCATGCATATACGTATATATGTGTGTATACACATATACAACAATTCATACAACACTGTCAGGTAGGGTTACTATCCTTATTTTACAGAAGGGCAGCGCAAGAAGGTTAAGGAATGTGCTTAAGGCCAAGAGCAGTTAAGTGGTGGCAAGGATCAGAGACTCAGTCTGATCACAGAGAATGCACATCTAAGACTAGGCTGCTTTGTTTTCTTAAAGTCACAAGGATAGTTTGCAAATAGATACTTCTGACTACAGTTTTTTGACCAACTAAAGTGGGTAAACTGTGACACTACCCCCACTAGAAAATTGAACGTAGATTTTTAATGTTATGTAACTAGCTGTTTTACAGTTAGCCTAGAAGAGATAGCTACAGACTGGCAAAACAGAAGAAATGCTATAAGAGGTCACACTACACAAAAGGTTACCTTCAAAAGTATGACATTTTAAACAGGAAAAAAAAAAAGGACAATGGGTTTTGATAATAGTTGTAGCATGTGTTGAAAAATAGGTTTTAATCAAACAAAAGTGAAGAGTCTCACACACACACAATCTATAAACAACATTGACTATCAATAATACTGTGTATTATTTACCCAAATATTAAATAATATATCTTTCCAAAAGGTCTTAGAGAAAATAAGTATATATAATATATATACATATATGTAGTACACTTATTTCCAAGTCAATATGATTTTGTGTGCACATTTGATAGAGTAAATATTATCAGACGACAAGTCACTGGAAAGCTGTTACTATAACTCTTGACTGTGCAGAATATTTCTAACAGTTTCTATGGTTCCAGAGTCAGTACACAAATTCATTTTGCAAAAGTCATAAAGAACTTCCAAACGTCAAGACTATTTGCAAGATTGAGATGAACTTCTTAGCTTCTGTCACTTTGGCAACAGTGGAGATTATAAAACTCAATGCTGCTCAGTTATTGTTCCATATGGACCATTTGTCCCACCCAATATCCTCCTTGAGGTCTACCTTCATAGGAGAAAAGAAAAAACAAAACAAAACAAAACAGGAAGATATAAAGTTTTTATTCTTTTACTAGATTTTAGACTTGCAGTTAGGTAGCTTCTGGAAGGAAATAAAAGGAAATTCTATCATCCATCCATCCAGTTAATAAACTCTTACTCTAACCTAAAAAACTCTGACTCAATATTATTCAAAACTGTCAATTAAAAAAAAAAAACACATTGTATATGTTCAGTACTTGCAATATATGCCAGGAGTACCCTGACATTTTTCAAAAAGCTATCAAGAGAAATGTGAGTGTGTGTTAGTGAAGAAAATATAAGACTTTCGTAATGTTTATATGTAGGTTTGCCAGAGGGTTATATCTGATGGATATCTCGCCAACTTTTTTAAAGATCCATTTAAATTCAAGAGCCCACTGACTCATTTATAAAAGTAAACTAGAGGAAGCATATGACCTACAATACACATAAATACTAAAAGATTACATGAGAATAAATCAAAATTTCCTACCCAAGCTTGCGCAGTAAGAAAAATTTTGAAGTCTTCATTAAATGTTAAAGTTGGGTGATCAGCAATTCGGTTCAAAAACTTATGCAATGCCTTCCTGCGTGTCTCAATGAAGTCATCATTAAAGCGTTCCACCATCCCTTTGACTATAAATTTTTCTGGCAAAGGCTGAGGCAATAAAAGTATTTTAAGTTACCTGAGCATTATGTGACACAAGATTATAAAGATTCTACTTTCCTTTTTTCAGAGACTATTTAAACACGTGTTCCTTTCTCATAAAACAAATTTTAAAAAATCCACAATACTAGAATCAAAAACTACAGAATTTAACATATTACAATAGTATTTAAAAACCAAATCTAGAGGTCTTCCTGTTGATGCAGGGGTTAAAGTCTCAGCTCTATCAAGCTATCACCAGTCACTGCAACATGAGTTCAACCCTGGCCAGGGAGGTAACCTACATGGCACAGCAGACCTCTCCTGTCTCACCCGCTGCTCCCCTTAGCCATGTATTTCAGTAGGTCTGCCTATTCTGCTCCCCACTCTGTCTCTGGTGAATCCTCTCACCCCCATACCTCTGGCCTGCACCCCAGTTCTTGTATGCATAAATAAATAAAAATAAATCTTTAAAAACAAAAAAAACCCACAAATCTATTTTAACCTCCTAATGATAGTTTTTAACAAAATGAAATGATTTGAAAATTTTTGAAATAAGTTTCTAAGTTAATGAATCACATTAAATTAAAAGGTCTGAAATTAGGTTATTGGCATTTAACAATTCACAAGACAAAATGGCAGTTATTCTATGAAAAAAAGTGTAAACTTACTGGAATAATTAGAGTGGGGTGTGCTTCTTCAAGTTTCCCCTTCAACCAAATGAAATCTTGATAACGCCTTCTAACTTCAAATTCGCTGGAGTCAAATTCTCCACGAGATGTCTAAGGAAAGGAGAAAATAACAGCACATGCAACATAAGACATTTGCCTAACGTTATTTTAGACATTCTGAAATAAATGTGTCTCTAAGAAAAATTAACAAATTCTAATTATTCAGTGTTTGTCAGCCTTTGCTTTTTTTTTTTTTTTTTTGCTATCATCAATTCATGTAGCAGATGAAACAAAGCAAACTTTCCAGTATTTCCAGAAAGAAAGCAAACACCATGCTCAAATTTCAAATCCAAACTGAAAAATCTGTCTTAGAGCAACCATCTGCTTTCCACAAGATTTTAACTACTATTATCTTTGGCATGACTTTCTTGTTAAAAAGAAAGTGTGTTCTGAATTTAGGCTTCAAATATATTTCTTTTTTCAAGTTCATGAGAATTCAGAATTTGAGGAAAGTCCTATTTTTGCAATTTGGAAAATAACCTGAACGTAACTGAGAAAAAATGTTTTCCTGGAATTGGTCCAAATGAATTGCTTTGCTAAAATTTGCTTTTAGTATATGAAAATTTCACAGAATGATTTTACCACTGTTTTTTAAAATGTTATTAATGGATATCTGATGTGAAAAGAAAATGTTCCTGTCATTTCTCAAGGAATTTTATTTTGAGTTATATGCCTAAACTCCCCCAAATTAAGCAAATATATTAAAATATCTGTTCTCAACAAACTAACAATCTATGCCAAGACATATGACAAGAAGAACATGAGTACAATATCAACTCACTTCCTTTGCCTGGATCCCAAGGCAAATACAAAAGCAGATTACCTAATGTACATTCACGTCTCATAAGAAAATAGTTAGTCCCACCCTTATTTTATTTAACTGAGCCTTTGCATATTAAAAATTATATGCAGGAACATTAAAATTGAAATTTTACTGGAGAAGTAAAGTTGGACTAATGCACTGCATACATAGTTCACATTCAGCAGAAACTGATTACCCACATGGATAAATACAATTGTAAAATTAAGCAGTTCAAGTCAAAGATGCAATTTAAATTAATCTCAAAAGTTATACCTTCCTATGTTCATTATTTCAAATGAATGTTTAGAATATTATACTCTAAACTTTAGTAAAACATTACTATTTTTGTGGGGAAAAGGTGAAAATAAATAAGATATAGAAGATTAAGAAACTAGATGCTCACAAAATACAAAATCTTAACTATCAGGAAAATGATAGAAGTTACAGAAATGCTAGAACTAGGCAAACTAAATTTAATAGCACAATTTAACAACATAAACATGAGTCCTAGATATGTATATGTGTGCATGCAAACACAGTTTAGTGTCACTCATTAAAAATACTATTGAATATGTCCTTGTGTCAGGTACATATGAACAGGTTCACCATCAGTTTCCAATTTAAGCAAACATAAAACAATCTGATATAAATTCTAGCAAAAGAAAGTTATAAAATCAAGTCAAACTGGGTGATTCTGGCCACATCACTCTGGTGTTAAGTGTTCTTTAATATACTACAATAACAGAGGAATAAAACAAAGGATAAGTACAAATCTCAAGGACAGTATGTTCTTTTTTTCCTACTATAAGAATTTTTCCTTCAAAGATATAAGAAATGTATTCATGTATATATGTTACATATATGAATGAGAGTATTTCTAAGTCTGCTCAGATCATTACTTATTTCCCCACTGCGGATATTATAATTATTGTCCCATTAGATGTGACCAAATTTGGTCATTAAGAAGATACATAAAAGCATCTAACTCTAGGAATAAGTGAATTTGATGACAGATCTCCAACTTATAAAGAGAACATATGTTCTCAGAAGTTCATGTGGCACACAGAACAGTGCTGTTAATCTGGAGTTAGTTTTCCATGGAAACAATATTGTAAATGGTGATTACTTTTTCATGTCCAACCACAAAGGTTGGGAATTTGGGGACTTATGGATTTACCTACACCCCTAAATGCATTCATTCCACAAGCACCAACCTTTGGTGAAATGTAAACAGCTATTCTGAACTGAGGATTTAGAAACTGCATCTTAGAATCAGGGATGGACTTTAACCTTTACTGCACAGTGACAGATACTTAGGGGTTTGTCTTCATGATGAGCATGTGGGAGGAAAGACGCTTGTTAAGTCTTCAGTTTTATTTCTATATGTACCAAGGGAAGGAAAATCTCTAGATCTTCAAAAGGCAAAGCACTTTTTAGAGCAGTCCTCTTCAAATACTTTGACCTAACGAATAAAGGGCAAATTTCATAAGGAGGAAAGATGCCAAGAACATGAGCTTCCTGATATTCATAATTATTTGCCATCAAGTTATACTTAAGCAGTCCTATGCAGAAGATTGTCAGTGTATATACTACATTTGCCTTTTAATCTTAATGTCCATGAATATAAATTTTTATAAAATTAAAACTTTCCCAGGGAAGCCTTCTCTGAGTCTCCAATAAAATGGGATATCCTATGCTCATAAAATTCTGTGTTTTTCCTTCATAGCATACATAACTATAATTAAATAATTAAACATATAATTATTTAATACATCACCCCCCCCAGATTAATAGGTCCATGAAGGCACAGGGTACATTCATCTAAATTACTGATGTAGTCTCAAAATATATAGTACCTGGCATATAATTGGCACTCAATAAAACTTTGTGGAATAAAAAAAATTATGGTAAGTGAATAAGACTATGATTGATAATATACATATACTAAATGCTTGTATGTGTCTGAAATTCATATTTTAGCACATATAGGTTTAGTCTTTATAACACAGTGTAAGTGATTGGAAGAAGAACAGCAGAATTTAGTTTATATTTATAATAGTTAAATTGGAAAATAGTTTGCCACAACCACACATAGATGCACAAAAATCAAAAAGTAAACATGTATAGCATGAAAGTCAACTGTCTGGGTTTAAGTCCTTAGCTCAATCACTATGTTGTGCAAATGGGCACATAACTAAGTTTCAGTGTCCTCATTCATGAAAACAGTGGTAAATCACAGCATCTAGGCCCTAGGATTGTTGTTTTATATGAGTTAATATGAATAAAGTGATCAGACCATTGTCTGGTACAAAGTAATCCCAAGTGTTAATTTAACACACTGTAATATTAATACTTTTATTACTGCTGTAACTACTATAAGAGCAGTACATTTAAAGTATGATGTTAATATGAATAACTCATAGTAATTGTATGTGTATGATGAGGATGAAATTCATATGATGGTTTATAAAGGGTATCTCTCTGAGATAAACAATGAGAAAATAATTCAGTTTTATAAATTCTTTGATAGGAAGGATGATGACGATAGATGACTGTAATGGTAGTAACAGAAGAAATCTGGCTTTTATTCTTATGTCTGTATTAACACATTCAATAGTTACTAATTTGAATCAATTTTACGCATCCTTATATTCACTATAGCATTAGTTTCAATTGTTAAGACTTGGAAACAACGAATGAGTGGATAAAGAAGATGTGGTATATACACAATGGAATAGTACTCAGCTATTTAAAAAATGAAATCTTTCATTTGCAACAATACGGGTATACCTAGAGGGCATTGCCAAATGGAATAAGTCAGACGGAGCAAGTTAAATACTGTATGACTTTACTCAGTGTGGAACATAAAGAAATAAAATCAGTATGTTAGATAATGAGAACAAAATGCTGGTTATTAGAGGGATGGGATGGTGGGTGGGTAAATCAGATATAGGGGATCAACTGTACGGTGGTGGAAGGAAATAAAATTTTTCTGGTATTCCTAATGCACTAGGTACAGCAGTCAAATTATAATGTTGTATACCTGAAACCTATCTAAAGTTATAAACCAAAACTATTTCAATTATTTTTTTTAATTCAAAGACCCTATGACGTTATTACTGTTAGATACATTCACAAATGAGGAAACTAAACATAAAATGTTAATTAAATTAAAGGTACTTAGTAAAGAAGAGGAAGAATCGAGATTTAACTCTATATTATACTATTCTACAGTCTCTTGATATGACTGTAATACTATAACTTTTACACTCTATTTACCCAAAAGTTAAATTGCTTACTTACAATACTCTAAGGATTGTATTGGAAATTACAGATAACTTAAGATACAATTACCTTTCTTGAGAAGATCACAGATATATTGGGAATAAATACAAATAAAGACATAGTTCTCACATACAGGTAGGTGGCAATTATTGAACACTTATTATGTATCAGGCTAAGTGTTCGCTAAGTGTTTCCCATTGATCAGCTATACTAAATCGATTATTATAGAAAACTACAAAACCAAGTTCTATTATCATTCCAGTTTTACAGATTAAAAAAAAATCCTGAGGCTTAGAAGGATGAAATACATGCTTTTAATGTCTTTGTACACCAACTCCAATGTTTTACATTCTTGAAGAGTTCGTTAGAAAAGTATGAGAAAACAGAAAAGGACTTTTCAGCCAGCAGGGGCAGGAGGAAGCAGGCAGTGATCAACCAGAGAAGACTTCACAAGGCATCTTTTTGAGTTGTGTCTTGAAAAATAAATAGTAGTTCATCTGTCAAAGAAGGGGAAGGACATACCACACAAATGGAAAAACATATGCAAAGTCATGAGGAAGAAATATCCTAGAATACTCAGGAAACAGAAGCAGTTCTACAAGAAGGGGACAGAATTAAAAGTAGGGAGTAAGAGATGTTCTTTATATGTCATACAAGGAGTTCGTACTTTATTCTGTAGGAAATGAGAAGCCTAAGAAGAATTTAAAAAATTTAAGTAAAGAGATTCGGTGTATACACTCACACACCCAAAAATATATCTATATATTTATGAAACACAACTAGCTAAGTGTGGAGGCTCCATTAGAAGAAATGTTTACAGGAAGATGATTCAAACCTTTTAGCTACAAAAGAAATGTACTACAAAAGAGATATAGGATGAGGTTTCATAAAGAAAACTTTATAGCTTATAAGTAGAATTTTTACAGGCTGCTATTACATAAATGTTTATGAAAAATCCAATAACTATACTATATAGTTGTTTTATTTTTTCAGAGGTAAACTGCCTTTTTCTAGACTTGTTCTAGGATTAAGGATACTTGGGTTCTAGATCTATTAGGTCCTTGAATTATTAGACAATGCATGTATTTTATAAGCCACTTTATCTCACATATAAGCTGTTTGCTTTTATGAAATTATTTTTTGCAATCAAAGACAATACCTATAGTCAAGAAAATAATCATTAAATATTTACCTTAGTAATAATCCTGTAAGTAATAAAAGTTTCAATTGTAGTGACATGGCTTTCAGGTTCATCGACTGTAATGAAGATATCTTTCATATCTTGCTCATCTTCAAACTTGATTTGGTTGATCATGGATAAAGGGGATGTTGGCATTGTAGGGCTGAATGAATTTATGTCCATAAATGAGGCATCCTGAGAATAACACATTCAAAAATTATTGTCAATAGAAAAAAAAGTTAAAATCCTCCTTATCTAGACACCACCAATAGTAATACAATGTTAAGAACAAAGAAGGATAAGTGGACTTCTGGTTAAATAGGGTATGTTGAACCCATATTTCTATCTCAGCTTCATCTTAAAATCTCACTTAAAAAATAATATCAAAGAAACAAATGCAACAAAAAATGGGATAAAAGATCAAGATAAAAAGAAGAGAGAGAGCAGAGTGAACTTCCTTTTGGAAACTGAAAATCTGATTACCAACAGGTAGCTATTAATAAAATGGAAATAAAGGGCCTCCCCTAGAGGCACAGTGGTTGGGCGCTGGCTTGATCCCCAGCCACCGGCGAGGGTCCCACATGGCACGTAGACCTCTCCTGTCGCCCGCTGCTCCCCTCAGCAGTGTATTTCATCAGTCTGCCGGTTCTGCTCCCCGCTCTGGCTCTGGTGAATCCTCCCACCCTCCCGTGCCTCTGGCCTGTACCCCAGCTCTTGTATAAATAAATAAATAAATCTTTAAAAAAATGAAAAAATAAAATGGAAATGAAGAGTTAGCTGAAAAATAAACCTAGGAAATAAGGATAAACTAGAAAGATGAAGGTGTATTTATGACAGAAAATCCCCAGAGAGAAGTAAGAATTAGAAGCACCAGAAACCTGTGGACATTGGGTTTTAGAAGAACTGAATCTGGAGGATGTTGAAAAGCTAACAAAACAAAAGAGCAAGAACCGCAGATTCCATCACCAAACCCAAGCAATCAGGTGATGTATCATCCCCAATTTTGTAGAAAACCCAAAGAATACTTTCTGAGGTGTTTCTGAGCTCGAGTGTGCAAAGCAAAATGGAGAGTTCCATTCATGTTGTCACAAATGGCAAAATTCATGTTCTTTTACAATTAAGCAGGATTCTACTGAGCATACAGAGCCCATCTTCTTAATCCAATCATCTTTTATCGGTCACTTAGGTTGTTTCCAGACTTAGGATATTGTAAAAAATACTTTCAATGAACATAGCAGTGCATATTTCCCTTCAAATTGACATTTTTGCACTCTTTATATACCTAGGAATAGAATTGCTGAATCACAGCTGGATCAATTTTAAAAATTTGAGAAACTTCCATACTGTTTTCCATAGAGGCTGGACCAGTCTACATTCCCACCAACAGTTGTATGAGAGTTATTTTTTCTCAACCTCCTCACCAACACTTGTTGTTTCTGGTCTGGTTGATACGGGCCATTCTCAAGGGTATAAGGCGGTATCGCTTTGTGGTTTTGATTTGCATGTCCCTGATGATAAGTGATGAAGCACATTTTTTATGTGTCAATTGGCCATCTGTATGTCTTCTTTGAAGAAGTGTCTAGTTAGCTATTCTGCCCATATTTTGACTGAGATATGTGTTTTCTTGTCATTCAGCTGCATCAGTTCTTTGTACATTTGGGATATAAGCCACTTATCAGATGTATGATGTGCAAATGCTTTGAGAAAGTATTTGAAAACTAAATGATCTAGGGCCCCCCTGGTGGTACAAGGGGTTAAGTCTCAGTACTATGAAGCTATCTGCAGTCACTGCAGCACAAGTTCAATCCCCAGCCAGGAGATAACCCAGGGAGCTAATATGGTGCAGCAGACCTCTCCTGTCTTGCCTGCTGTTCCCCTCAGCAGTGCATTTCAGTAGATCCGCCTGTTCTGCTCCCCACTCTGTCTCTGGTGAATCCTCTTACCCCCTCTTCCCCCGCACCTCTGGTCTGCACCCCAGCTCTTGTATACATAAATAAATTCTAAAAAAAAAAATTAAACAACCTAAGTAGACAGTTCCTAAATAAAAGGAATTAAAAAAACTAAGAAGAAAGTTGTTCTTGCAACTGGAGTATTTCCAGGTTGACAGGGATTATTAAACCTCCTCAAAATGAATGGAACAATACTTCTACAGCAGACAGTACTTCTACAAGCATCCATCACCACAGCACATCATGGTAGCAGAGATTTTTTCAAATTCTTAAAGTCCACAAAGACTACAAATAGGTAAAATACAATAGGAATCATAGAAATCAGAATGGCATCATATTCAATGGTAACACCACTGGAAACTGAAAGACAATAAAATAATATCTCACAATCTTGGGAAGAAAATATTTCCATGCAGACTTCTATAATATACAGCCAGGTAAATTCTAATTTTAAGTAGAACAAAGTCATTTCAGATATGAAGGATTTTAAAAACTGACTTCCTAGGCACCCATTCTTTGGAAACTTCTTTACTTTTCCAAAATATAGGCATATGCTATGAAGGAAGAAATAAGATCTAAAAACAGTAATTTAAATGAAAGGAGAACTAAATAAAATTCTCTGGTTGACAGTGAAAAATGGGTTTTAGTCCTCTCTCTACCATTGACTAAATAGGTAACCTTGAACAATTAATTCAGTCTTTCTAGCTTAAATTAAGGAGTTGAACTTGAAAATCTCCAAAAATCTCTTCCAGTTCAAAGGCTAAAGTAACACAACTTCCAAATGTATCAAGCGTAATATATGCAAATAAGCATAATATAGCAAAATTCTGATATTTTAAGAAAGGGTGCTTTCTTATGGTACTATAAATGGAAAAGGATTTAATCATAATATGAACTCTCTTTTTTTTTTGCAAAAAAAAAAAAAATCCATACAAAAGTTAGTTATATGAGGGTCCTCCCTGGAGGCGCAGGGGTTAAAATCTCAGCACTATTGCCAGCCACTGTGGCCTGAGTTCGATTCCTGGCCAGGGAGCTAACCCACATGGCACAGGAGACCTCTCTTGTCTTGCCCGCTGCTCCCCTCAGCAGTGTATTTCAGTAGATCCGCCTGTTGTGCTCCTTACTGTGTCTCTGGTAAATCCTCTCACCCCCTGCACCTCTGAACTACAACACCAGTTCTTTTATGCATAAATAAATAAAATAAATCTTGTATTTTAAAAAGTTAGTTGGTGAACTGTCATATAGCAATTGGTAATCCTCTTCAATGCAATAATACAAAATTATGGTAGACAAAGGAAGCAACAATAATATCAATGATTATTTAGATTAGAGGGTTCAGATTATTGTGATTACAAAGTGACTTCTAAAAGGAACATACAGGCATAAATTGGATCAAGCACTAGAAGACAAATTACAGTTGGATTAATTAGATACACAAAACAGAGAGGCAACAAATGGTTGCAACAAAAGCCTTTATTGATAGATACATTAAAGGCTATCCATATGTTAGACTACAAAAAAGAGATTAAAGCTAATGTTTTAGAAAAATATATAGTAACTTGAACAAAGGTTCACAGTACTTTATTAAGAGAAAGTTGCAGTTTATAAAATTTGTATACATAAGATTCTACTGTGTATAAGTGTACTTACATATGTGTATGATAGGGACAAGAAGGCAGGAGAAAAAGTTTTGGTGTGGGGAGAGCAAAGAAAGAAAAGTGCAGATGTTAAAACTTAGAAGTGACACACACAAAAAGTTAACAGAAGTTATTCCAGATGTTGGGACTGCTATTTGAGCTTAATATTTTCCCATGTGAGTTTCTGTATTTGTAAATATTCTAAAATAAGCATACATTATTTTGAAAAAAATGTTGAAATTGTTAGTCAACACTGTACACAATGTTTCAGAGACAGTAGAACTATTGTGATAAGCAAAAAGAGTTGTCTAGACCGTTCTGGCAGAAGACTCTGGATTACATTTGACTTTTTTAAAAATTCATCAAAGCTGCACAGTTAAATAGAAAATTTTAAAGGATGTCTGAAATCACATTAAAATGGGCTTGTCAAAATAAATTATGAGATGCTAACACAATGGAATACCAAGCAGCCATTAGAAACAGAATTTAGAGGATCCAACTAAATGTGCAATTAGCATGTACAAAAGTCTCTCAATAACCATTTCATATAAATACTAGTTTTTTAAGCTGACAAACTTTAATTTGATGGGCAAATGTACTTTTAAATTTCACTGACATTGAATACAACCATGTGCTTTGGCATTCTTTGTTGTCAACCTCTTAACTCACCACAACCCACTTCTTTTACCTACTACATAATTTAGCATTCTATTTCTTCTACTTAAAATGCATCCTTTTGTAGAGTGGAAAGATCTGCATGAATTTACAAAGGCTCACAATTCCAATGAGTGTAGTGTGGTGTCATAGAAATACGCTTCAATATCCTGCAAAGGAAGAAAATTACAGGCTGAAATTTAGCAACATCCAAGATTTCAGTAGAAGGATTGAAATTACTATGAATCACTCAAAAACATTCTTAAAACCTCAATAACACTGACTATCCAAAGTGTTTTATATTCACTTAAAAAAGGGAAAGAAAATATACTGACAATAGTTAAAAGATTTACATTTGGACAGGAATAAGTGAAGAAAATAAATGTTTAACAAGATCCAAAGAAGCAATTAACAACAACAACAAAAATTCCATATAACCTTTTGTGGTTGATGCTTTTTAGGAGTAACAGATCACTGAAATGTGTTCTTTCAGAACAAAGGTCTCCCTTCCACAATATGTTTGCCTCATTCTCCTGCTAGTTCTGTCGCACTCTGTCTCATTTATGCATTCTTAGTATTTGGATTTATGTCCATTATCTTATGCTCTTTTACATCACGAAAATACATCTTTTTGTTTAAGAGATTAAAGCAAAAGGCTGATCATCTATGTAGTAAATCTCTACTTCGTAAATAATACTGAATACCTTTTCCAATACCTTGCATAATGAAAATAAACTCTCTCTCTCTCTCTCTCTTTCTCTCTCTCTCTCTTTTATGCAACAAAAAATGTTGGGATGATTTCAGGCTGAGATTTTAATTTATGTAACAGAGAAGTTAAATACTCAAGAATTACTATCTTTTATCCTTACTCCAAACCAACAACACATCCACTATAAAATTACTTGTTATTTTGCTGAAATAAATGGACATTAGAATTATTAACATGATATTGAAA